ACTGTGGCCACATACATTCAGGAAAGCACAAGTGTGAAGTGTGAATGTGCCCTTCAAAGTCTCCCACGACACCGCCGCATCCTATCTGCAACCTTCCCCTGGGAAAGAAAGCTTGGAGACAATCTTCACTAAATCTGGTCATAACTGAAGTGCTCTCCAAGTCTACTCACACTGAGGCTTTCTTCACTAAATCTGGTCATAACTGTGGCCACATACATTCAGGAAAGCACAAGTGTGAAGTGTGAATGTGCCCTTCAAAGTCTCCCACAACACCGCCGCATCCTATCTGCAACCTTCCCCTGGGAAAGAAAGCTTGGAGGTGGAGGCAATCCACTACCCTGACCGGAAAACGGAGTTGCTATTAGACATAGCAACCTGGTTAGCTTTCCGTTTGGCAATCCATACACATTTTTTTACCAAAAAGAGAAAAAAAAAAAAAAAAAAACCTAGGTAAGCAAAATGGAAATCTCTCCTAAACTGCCAGTACATGGCCGCCGCCTTGCAGAAAAAGCAAATTGTCACCACCGGTCCACCGCACTGTACTGTAGCACCGCAACTTTTGGGGCCGGGCAGCCATTGATAAAATTCAGCAATGCCCGCAGGTGTGTTTCCGAGAAGAGGTTAACAGAGCCCTAAGTTTTCAGGATTTTTTCAGGGTCATTGTAACAAACGTCCCATACCTTTTACGCCAGACTTGTCACTCCAATGCACTTTTCAGGGTTGGGGGTGTTACCTTGGGGCTGAATAGTGGGGGTCCCTGTTAACCTTTGGTGGTGTTTCCAGCCTCCGAAAGTCACGGTGACAGGCCCGCAGCCAATGCATGCCCCTGCACTGGTGGTTTAAAGTTTAAACCATCCCCTCCAAAGATGTCAAGGCCCAACGTCACACACAACAGGACAGAACAAAACCGGACACGACAGACACAAGACAGAAGGACCAAACAGGACAGGCCAAACCAGGGGCCAAGTCCCACTAGCGGCATTGAGTTTCCTCAACACCCGAAGATGGACGTGTTTGTCGAGACGAGTGGTTGAGGAAACTCAACGCGTTTTCTGCACATCTCCACAAAC